AGTCACATTTTGTTTGTTTATCCTGTTTCTTTGCACTTTTTCTTGTCTTGCTCAGTGTATTCACAGTCACACGGGCGCATGATCAGGCTACCCATAATCAGCTAAAAGAGGCACAGTCATTTGATACACTTGAGTTGACATATCTCTCTTTGCATCCAGTTTTATCATTGTAATTAATGTGCCATCATCATAATTGCAGGTCAAGAGATACTCATGCACTGGGTCGTAAACCAACCAATGACAAGGCAGAAAGTGTAAGAGTAAATCAAATTCTTCCCCCACCACCACCATCAAGGAAGCCTGTCGCCTCTGATTCTGGCATGATTGACTATCTTAGTGGCGACACATACAAAGCAGACAACTCAGGACCAGCCCCATTTTTGGCTCCGTCTCATTCCAACCCTTATCCGTCCTCACCCCCTTCTCATGGCATGAGTACGTCACCGCCAACTTTTACCAGACAACCCGTGTATGATGAACCATCGCCCCCGAGCAAATCTACAGATCAGCTTCCTCCAGCTCCGTGGGAAACGCAATCTACTGGTGTCGTACTTCCACCCCCACCGTCGAGGTATAACCAGAGACAACAGTTTTTTGAGCAGCAAGGTGCATCTCATTCAAGTAGTGGATCCAATTCCTCTTATGATAGCTTGGTGGGGCAAACGCAGAATTTGTCTTTGAATTCATCCACCCCAACCAAACAAGAGAAGCCGGAAGATGCCCTTTTCAAAGATCTGGTGGACTTCGCTAAATCGAAGAAGACTTCGTCGTCTTCGAAACCGAATAGGTCATACTAGTTGTGTTTGTATTGTTTGTTGGTACAGCTTATATGCATGTTGATCGAGTTTTGCCTCACATCTGAGATGACTATTTCATGCTTGCCCTTGGGAACTGTCGTATGTGATTTATTTTTCCCCCCATGCATGTACCTAGTTTCATCCATATGCTGCATATATTCATGTATATTGATCATAAAGAATTTGGTGACTCGTGTTTTCAATAATATTGGATTTTGAGCCGATAGCAAAGTGGGGGGAAAAAAAAGAAAAAAAGGATTATGAGCATCCAAATTCCTTGAGGATGCCTTCACTTTTCGGGATTCTAGTCTCGTAGATGGCCCCACAAAAGAATGGGCCCGAGACTCTTGAGGGCTAGCTCCTCATCTGTCAGCTCGCAGCGAGCCGTCAGTCAATTGGACTTGATCATCGACTGCGTGTGACAGAGCGTTATTTTGGACCCAAAAAGTTCTAATTTGAAATAGATAAAAATTTTAATTAATTTTCAAGTTTGATTCGCATAATTACTCATTAAAATGTTCTTAATACTATAAATTCGATTTTTTCATTGACATTGTTGTCACAAAAATGTAGTCTCGCTAGAAAACACCTGAAAGAATTAGATAAAAAAGGTAAATCAGGTATTAATTGTTTTCCGCATTTATAAACCTTTTCAAATGAGAGGTTGCTACAAAAATGATTATTTTTTGGAATAATTAATTTTTCAACGTTATCGTTTTGTTAAAATAGATAATTCGATATTTTTCTTCGCCAGCATGATAATTCAAGATACGTATATGCATGCACATTCAATTATGAAAAGTCAGAACATAATTTGTGAGAAGTTTGAATATTGATACGAGATAGATATTAATGATGAGATAGTGGCTTGCAGCAGCACATTCGGTATAAAAATAAGGAAAAGGATGGGGCGGAGCTAGGCTGAGGTAAGGTGGCGCGTATTCCAAGTTCCAAATCTGCAATATTGATGGGTTTATATCTGCATTCTACCCAGAAATGTAAGCTAGCTATGTAGAAGTGATGAGGAGATTAATGGTTGAAACGCGATGGAGAGTATCAAGATAGAAGATGGCGACTTTATTTGATATTACTGATGATACATGCATGGTGACTGGTGAGCGGGATAGAGGACTGTATCTATGTATATATAATATTACATGTTGCATACATGAAGATGATACTGCAGAAATTAAGTGACGCAGATTAAGAGGAGAGCAGGTAATGAAGGATGAGGCGGTTGCAGGCGTGCTTAATGTGGCCACACAGGCGCATCATTATCTGTCTCTTGATTTTTCCAGATCTCGACGCCGGCAATAATACGCATTTCTCCTCCCTCTTCCTCTTCACTCCTGCTGATTCCGCCATTCTCTCTATGTTTTGCTTCTGCATGGCTGCTACTAGTAGTGATAGCGGCTCATATATTAATTATACAACACACTCACACACAAGTGTGTGTGTATATATAGGGTTAATATATAATATGGGGGGAGAACGAGAGAGAGAGAGGGAGGGAGGGAGGAGGAACCTTCGTGCCACCTTCTGGCGATTTGCCATTTATGTCACAAACACAGACCCCAGCTTCATGGGACCCCGACCATGTGCCGTACATCACCAATATATTCATCACTTTATTTCATCCTCCACAAACCTATTCATGCACTTGCTATAACTTCACCTTCAAGATGTTTAACGTGCATGAGTTTAAATTTAAGTTAAAGCAATGCTACCATCATTCTTAAACTTCCAAAACATCCATCACCAACTAATTATACATTGGGTTTGCACCAGTGTGTGCCAACCGAAGTTTCTTGCTTTGTTTCCTTACTGGCCACCGGGCGACAACAATATTTTTAGTATAAATTTTTAATGTTCCAACTATAAATTTTCGGCTGTTCTATTATTTCTTGGTATTACGCTTCGGTGCATATTCCAGTTTCAGCAACTGGTCTTCTCAAATAACATTGTTAATTAGAACTTAGCCCGGAAAGATGAGGAATGATGTGACTTTCAATAGTACTCACCAAACCCCTAATTCTGATTATTGAGTTGATCGAAAAATTAATTTTAATGTATTGGCTCGTCAAATAAAGGAGGACGTCATTCATGTTGGGAGTTGGGACTGCGAAATTTATGAGAATAGTTTTTGTAAATCGGTGCCAAACTAGAAATCATATTCTTCCGCAAACCTTTAAAAATTATTTTTTTCTCGATCAAGTCCCAACTAATCATTTACAAATCCTCATAATAATCTACTAGTATGGTACAATAATCTGATGGCCATATAAGTGATTACGAATATTAAATGAAAAATACATAATACCCACAAAAATAAGACATACAAGTTGGATACACACACACAGAGAAACATCTTCCACATCACGGAGTCTCAACAAATGCATAGTTGTACAAGCGCAAATCATCCTAATTTTCTAATAATTAAAAGCCTCAACCACATTTTCTTCATGCAATAAATTCAAGAATACACTGAACAGACTAATCCAAAAACCAGATTGAAGCTATATATACATATACACGCACGCGCGCACACACACAGATATAATACTGGCCACATTGTTGTCATCTATATAATTTATAGAGAAGTTTGGAGGAAATTAACACACTGAGGATTATTAAATAGAGGTTTATACACGATGGCGTATCTTCTTTGCTATGAGCTTACACAGATGAATGACATCGCAGAGGATTCTGAGTTTGATAGTATTTCCTCGAACTGGTGGCTTCCTCTTCTCAATCTTCTTCTTTGAGATTTCTGACGCAGCACTTGCTTCACGCTCTTTCATTTTGCCTTCGAGAAAGAAGATGGCTCCGCACGATAGAAGAAGGAGGATGGAGGCCAAATTCTTCTGTGTGTATATATTTTACCGAAACAAATAGCCCACGTATATATACATACACACAGGCGTAAGAAGCCAAGGAATAAATGCAGAATACTCTTCCGGTTCTTAATATAAGACCCATTTAATTAATTTGATTAGATTAAAAAAGTTAGGTAAGTTAGTTAATTATAAGAAATGTGACACGTTTTTTCCTAAAATACCACAATCATCTTTCTTAATACCCCATTTTCATCTTCTACTTGATCATAGTTGAAGGAGTATCCATAAGGATAATTTAGAGAAAACTGATAAATATGAGAAATGGACATTATATTTAGAACCAAAACCAACTCAACAATTGGGTCTTATATTAAGGACCGGAGGAGTATTTATAAATAATTACAGCTGATATTATGGCTACAGAAATCGCTGATAAAATGGGTTTAGAATATGGAAAACTCTGATTGCAATTGCAAAAACATCGTTGATATAATATTCCATGTATAGAAGTGCCTATGGCGCCCTTGTTCCCGAAATGCCATAAATAATATATACACAGTAGAATTGAAATTAGCCTAAAAGGACATTAACATTATATTATATCATTCTCTGTTGGTGTTGCCTCACTCCAGTGACGTCGCAAGCTCTTATCCATGCTTTAACTTCATTACGTGTCTTTATATTTCAGTACACGATAAATCACATTGTTTATAAACCATACATACCATGGTGAATATTTGCTCAATTTTAATATGTCAGTGTCTATGGGCATTATATATCCCCGTTCTTAATTTAGTAGTTTCAGCCGGCAGCTAAAATTGATTTTTAATTACTACCATTGTATACCACTTACCTTAATAATACGTGTTAACATTTAGTGAAGGGATTGGAAAAGTAAAACTTGAAGAGTCAATACATGTTGAATACAGCGAAAAAAATATGAAAATACGCATGGACGGCAAAGAAAGATACCTTAGGCATAAAATATAGCTGCTTAGTTAAATAAAAAAGTACGAATATGGAAAACTTTGATTAAAAATGAAAATCAGAAAAGCACATATGTGAAGATGTGACACAATTCAAAGGCAATTAAGCCACACTTCCCCAAAAAAAGGATATATGTATTGTACTATTGTTTCCATCAGCGGAAAATTGTTCTCATACACCTATTTGTGGGCTGTCTCATCAGCCCTCACAAATAAATTAAACCAACACAGTTGGTGGCGATCGAGTAGATACACCTATTTGTTGGCAAAACAACGAAGCGCGCTGAGACTTCTGAGGTTGAAACCACCAAATAAATTAAACTGAAGGTTAACACAGTTTACAAATAAAAATAACAAAATTTCTAAAAATATTTGGCGTATGAGGGCTTAAGATCCGTCAGTAGTGATCAACTATTGTAATTGTAAATTTATATAGACTGCCAAAAATAGCAGTTTTGCTTCCCAGGCAGGCGATGCGTGAGTTGGGCGAAGTCATGCCTCTTGACAAAGAAGACAGGAATAGTTACAGTAATGATATGATGATAAAATGGTCTATATTGTACAAGAACATTGAGTTGATATTTCCAAATGAAGACAAGAGTTGTGTGTCCAGGAAATGAATGACTCAATGATAGACGTGATCTTTGTGCAACTTTGCATTTCCCTTTTTGAATCGTCCCAAAGATTTGATTCATTCTTGCAAAGTTGAATTGAGCTGTGCGATGAATTGTGGGGAAAAAAAATGATATCCACATTATGAATAATCTTCAAACTCAGAGAAGGAAAGCAAAAAGAGCTTGAAATATCGACTTTGGGCTTCGCCCGGGATGTTCCCTCATCAAACCTTGCATGTGATCCTCTTGTTTTCCCTGAAAACACAACAAGACATTATCACCGAACTAGTTAATTCTGAACAATTATGGTTGTTGCTTAATCAATGGAATTTGTAAAAACGGTAAAAGCTCTGTCTGCAAACTATATTAAAATTTTCTCAAGTAAACAAGAAACTCAAGCTCTGTCTGTAAATTGTTTTTAAAATGCACCAGTTAATAATGTAAGGGACTTTTTTTTTTTTTAATCAAAATACATTTTAAAACATTAAAAGAATTGGAAACGCATAAGTTCCTTGAGGTAAGAGATCCCTTCATTAATTTTACCTCCATAGCATCCTTCAGTGCTCCCCAACATTCCATCTTGTTGTATTTTTTAGAACTAGAATGAAAATATACTCGGACTATAGAATCCAGCAATTCAGGATGCTCACTGAAAAGTACAGAATCTCCATGTCGTATTGCTTTCAGTACCTGTCATGCCCAAGATAGGAAGTCATGCTTATAGCCATAATACCACTATGACAATCATCTGAGAAAAGGGGGGCGGGGGAATGCTTTCAATTCTCGTAAACAAGGCTATAGATGTGATCTTCAGGTGACAAAAACTCTTCTACAATATGTCACCATACCAGAAGCGCACCAGCTTTTTGCAATTGGAGCAGCATTTCTGGTATACACCAGAAAGAGCCCAAAATATAAGGTTCAAGAGAAGTTAATGCGGAAAACATATCAATGAATAATCTTTTTTTTCCCCCGCAATTTGTGCAATGGAAAACTTTGGCAAAGCAGTTCACACATATGAGGCTACTTTTCCCAGTTTCACCCATCAACATTCAAAGGAGGTAATAAGATAAAGTGTCTCTTACATCAGTCATAAAATCGAATGTTCAGAAGAGATGACATAGAATAAGGCAAACATACCAAAGGCATTTCCTTGGAGAATATGTGGTATCTGAACTCAGCAGCTATATCTAGGAAGGGATTTGGACCACAGACAAAGCAATGAACATGAAGGCACATTTCGTTTTTCACTTTCTTCCATTCAGCTACAACATCATCCTTCTTGTACCACCCTCTCAACTACCATAGTCATAGAAGGTAATGCAGACATTAAACATGGATTAAGATAACTTAGGATTTTGTTCAGTTTGGCATCAGAAACTTGCTACTTGTAATTCAGACAGGCATAAATTAAAGACACGTACCTGGTCAAGGTTGATAACATTGGATACAGTTAAGGTCAGATTAGCTGTAAAGTCACAGTGAGATAGAATATAGGTTCTTGGAATAATACTTGCACATTTATTTATGTGATCTTCCAATGGAACAACCTTCAGTTTTGAGGCTTCAAATCTTGCTGGAGGACCCAAGAGCCTAACAGCCTAACATTGGGAAAAATAAGTGCCCTTTTACAAGGAATATCAATAATAAGCATAGCATATTATGTTAAATTTTTTACCCTGCTCTCAGAAATAAGGAATTCAACTTTGCAACTGAAATTAAAATTCAGGAGACAGAGGTTTTCGCACGTCCTTTCCTCACTCTAGATAAGTGATTAATCGGTAACCAGCTGTTTCGAAGGTTCTCAGCTTGCAAAAAATTCTCAAAATTCTCACACAAAGTATATTTCTTCTATGTATAAATCATAAAAAGCAATTATAATTTTGTAAATAAAAGGGGGAGACAGATCACCGATTAAAGAGATCTGGTTTTTATTTTTTAACCCCCGAGTCATGCAATTATGTAGTTTCAATTTTTTTTTTATATGTCTTTATAACTGCTTGAAGAGATCTACTCTTTACTTCTTAACTTTATTTTAAAATAAACTTAAAAACTGCACAATTAAATGGCCACATGACTCTGGAGTTTCTATTTTTTTATCGATAAGCTTCGGTTTCAGGAAAAAATCTGCGGGAAAGAACTTGCGTCCCAAAAGTTTATGGACATATAGAATATATACACATTTATCAGTAAGCCAGAGGAGGTTAGTGTGGCGTGAAGCAAGGTATTCTACTTATCAGGAACAGGACAATCCGTCATATGAAGAGCTAAATTTTCATAGTAAAAGAGGGATGTGGGGGAAGAAAAGCTCAGAAATCTATAACAAGATCAAATTCATCATACAATGCAAGGACGAATAAAGTCTGAAGATCGTAAAACATTATCAAGCACTACCCTGAATGCAAAGAATCACACTTTAAGAAGTAGGGGTGCTAACACAGAAAGATTTGAAACGTCCATATCACATTTAAAGTTTCAAGTCATGTTATAAATTGGAGTTTCCAACTTGTGTTGAATATAAACGCTGCTCCTTTTCTTGAATCGTCCATGCTTCATGAAGTAGACTTCACGAGACCAATTTTCTGCCGTCTTTTAAGGATAGATAAAAAGCATAAGCATGTTATGTAATATAGGACCTCGCATTGTGGGCCCTTAAACTTCAAATGGCAGAATGCAGCCTCAAAAACCATCAATGACCTTGAAGCGACTGATAAAAGTATGTCTTTGGAAGTAAGATGTAACCCCCATCGTTGTAATTCAGTAAATGATGTAAACTACCAAGAAGAGGAGAGTCCAAAAGCTAAAAGATTTCATGTGTGCAGCTACGGTAAGAGTGAAGGGACTGAGGCAGGCAGGAAAGAAAACCTTTGGTGTGTAACACCCATCATACATTAACTAAACAAAATATTCCGAAACAAGAAAACTTATGATCAAAGAGACATTATAAGTTGCGACATTAATCAAGGAATGTTCCATAATCCTCTATTTCCCACATAGCTCACTTCAAAATGCCAGCAAAAGAGTTTGAGTACAGGGCATGCCACTTCAAAGTAGAATGAAATTGATAAATTAGTAGAAGATAGAGCAGGTGTTACCTCAGAAACAAGGGTGTTATAAGATGCGGAAGCGTTGGTTATGGAGGATAAAAGAAAAGGTCTACTTCTAATGGATGACTTTGAGACAGAATTGGTGCTGAAGAGTTCCCTTGACGGTGAAAAAGAAAAGGCATTGTAAGCACAATGGGTAGCCATGGAAGATGCACAAAACAGTCGTCGTCTTCATTTTTCACAGGCCACCATTGTCTTCTTTCATGCCTTTTGCTCGAGAGAGGAACACAGAGGGGAAGGGGAGGTGATTTGGGTGGCTGTGCATCGGACCCCACGGCCTAAAATCTCTGTCAATCAATTCCCTCCACACGATATCGTTATAACTATACTTTTTTTGGAGTTTCAAAAATCAAACTTTTTTTAATTAAGCAAAAGCTGATGAGTGGAAAATGGGGATTGGTCATGGGGATGAAGGTTGTGCCACGTCATCGAACAGCTTGAATTCTCGATTGCTTGTGGATAATGTGATGACGTGGCTTTTGTTGGGTCTAGAATCCGTGAGGGACGGATCCGGACCTCCTTGAACTTCGACTCTACAGCTCTTATTTAATTAATTAAATTAAATATTTGGACGTCCTCCCCTCTTCGCATTGTTTGGTTGTGGCCTGAAACTTGAAAGCAGCAGCCCAACACAGAGTTATAATTTTAAAAATAAAAGATTTCAAAATATTTATGCCCACAATAGAATAACGTTGGAATTCAGAAGCATTGGGTTATTTAAAAAAACGGAGAACTATTTTTTCTTTGGTTTCACATGACAGAGCAAAACTTTAAATTTCTTTTCTTTAATTAACTATTCATATCCATACTTTTATCAGTGAAAATAAATTCAGCAATTCTTAAGGGATGACATCGCATAGGGAGAATGACGCTCAAGGGCCAGTATATTAATATAATTACAATTTAAGAACAAAATATTTCAAAAATTCAACTCGTGATGTTAACATGAAACATGTTATGCTGGTCACACAAAAAAAAAAAACATGAAACTTGTTATGGTAAAGTAATTTCTTGTTCTCAGCTAAGAACCTTGGGACAACAGGGGATTCAACTAGCTATGTTAATGCCCAGTGATCGGTGTCCTAGGCTGCCCCGGTTAGGACTTGAATGTTCTTTTTCATTGGCGTTTCCATCAAAATTTTGGGCTCGGTCAAGATTAGATTTCTGGGCGAGATACTACCTCCGGTCCTAATTCTAAAAACTAATTAACTATTTTAAAAAGATTAAGAAAAAAAATTAAATTAGTTATTTATAACAAAATAGGTGTTTTTTTCTTAAGATGTCTTTACTAATCAAGTATATTGATTATAACTACTATTGTTAGAAGGATTACATTGAAAAAAAAATATAAATATGAGAGACAAAGTGGATCAGAATATTATATTTAGAATCAAAATAAAAATTAAACAAAATTTTATATTAAAAATCGGAAGTAGTATTTTGTTTTAATAAATCAGCAGGAAGATTATATTTATAGGGAATCAGCTAATGGCCAGCCGCTGACCAAATTCGATGTCAGAACTCAGAACTAACGCTTTGTTGTCATGCTTATTTGTTCCGAAATAGGAGAAATAAGCTGTGCGATACAAAATGTATGAATAATTAGTATGGATTCAGTAATCATAAGCTCCTTGCCAGCTGTAGATTCATATATGACCCATAAATAATAAAATACACAATGCACATCTTTTACTGCAACTACTGTCCTTGGATTTCAACTTCCTAATGCCAGCGCATCATGCCTTCGCCTTTCTCCGTTAAGCGCGTTAATCTCGTCTTCTTCCTTCCATTGAAATATCTACAGCTCTGCTTACTCCTCCATTCTCCGTTACCTCTGCAACTTGAGTGATAATTTTATGTACCATTTCCAGCCATCTACTCACCTGCTGAAGATGATCTACGAAAGTGAGTAAAGCCTGGGCAATTCGTCATAGTATCTCGTTTTTTTTTTTCCCCTTCCATTCCTCTCAAGGTAGGATGTTACGATGAGCTTATCTTTGTGATCATGATCTTCCCTTTCTGTTTGTTGGATGTAATGAAAATGCTAAAAGCATGTGTTTTTGGGGTAAAGGGAACTTATGCGTGATACTCGTCTTCCTTTTCTGTGCGACCATAAACGAACCTCGTCAATTTTTCACTTTTCTATGCTTGATTTCCTGCTTCTTTTTCCTTTTTTCCCAATGCCCTTTGGGGTTCCCCCTTAAGGTAACTTGTAATCGACTTTGCGCAAAATTTTAATCTGTTTTTGCCAAGAGCTTTGCACCTTAGGTTCGAAATGTCCCTTGCATATCCTCGAAATGTTGCCAAGAAAGTTCCGATTTTTTCTTTACCTTCTTACTTTCCGTTGTTTTGTTTCCTTGGTCTACCCAAACAAAGCAAACGAACAATAGTAACTATGGCTATAAATGGTCGTCAGTCTTTCTCATTCTCTGTTCTGTTACTTATATTCTTCTGATTGTTCTGTTGGGGTGCTGGAGATCACATATGTTGTGTCCCTACGTTTGATTTTGGTCTTTTGGATGTTTATTTGAATAGCGTAGTTTAACTGCAATACTGTCTGATGACTTTTCTAAACTAATAAAAAGAAGAAAGCATGAATTAGCTAAGTTACATTCTTATAGTGAGTTTTCTAATATTTTGCTTTCCTTACTAGGTACATGTAACTTGGACTATCAGTAGTTTAAAAGCATGGCTATTGCGAAGAATTCCCGGGTTGAAGGGAGGAAATCATTGAACTACTACTCGACAGTCTCTGTAGTCGTGTTTGTTGCATTTTGTTTAATTGGTATATGGATAGTAATGTCATTCATTGCCCCAATTCAGAATTCAGAGTTGCGGGTAGCTGAGACTATTAATGAGGTGAGAAATATAGTAGGTGACAATGCCTCCGCGCAATTTGAAAATGGTTCAGCTAATATAGTAGATGAATCAACGAAGGCAGATCTCGAGGCCAATAAATCTGAGAGTGAAAACCATTTCAAAAACCAGGGGGAACAAAAAGGTATTGGAGAATTGTATGATAATATAGCTGTAGAAAACCGGCTAGAGGATACTACGAGGGAGAGCTCTAATGAGAAGAATGGTTCAGATAAGGGTTCAAGCACTCACGATGAAGAGTTAGACAGAAACTTAAATTCAGAATCTGTGGAAACAGAAACAATAGTTGTCCAAACTATTGATGAAAAGAATTTGGACAAAAGTGATAGTAACAACAAATTAGGGACAGAGAAAAGTACAGGCAATAACAAACATCAAGATGAGATTGGTATTGAGACTGTGGAGAAGATTAAGAAAAATATGTCTTCAAAGGTAGAACAAGCTACTGGAGAGAGTATCATGGAAAGTCATGATAGTAATCAAACTTCAAAGGAAGCTTTTAATGTTGATACAGAGTCAGGAATCTTAAATAATGCTACCACAGAAAATGGAACTTGGTCAACTCAAGCTGTAGAGTTACAACATGAGAAGGAAACACAGAAGTCTTCAATTTCTAATGACAGAAACAAATATGACTGGAAACTTTGTAAAACAACTGCAGGACCAGAATATATTCCTTGTCTTGATAATTGGCAAGCTATTAGAAAGCTTCCAAGTATCAGGCACTATGAACATTGGGAGAGGCACTGTCCTGATGAAGCTCCCACCTGTCTTGTTCCTCTACCTGAGGGCTACAGAATCCCCATTAAGTGGCCCAGAGGCAGGGAAATGGTTAGTGACATATACTGGATGAAAATATAATGTTGTTACTTGATGTTGAAGTTATATTTTGGTTCCAATTGCAGATATGGTACAAGAATGCACCGCACACAAAGCTTGCAGAAGTTAAGGGTCATCAGAATTGGGTCAAAGTTACCGGGGAATACCTTAGTTTTCCTGGAGGTGGAACACAGTTTAAACATGGTGCTCTTCATTACATAGAATTCATTCAGAAAGTAAGCCATTCTTATGTGTTTCTATTTTGTCAACGCCATTCTCTTCCTAACACGTTATTTTCTATGATTGATTGTTCTTGCCAAATACTCCCTCCGTTCCTTATTATAAGAGACGAATAACCGAATTACGTTGATCAAAAAAACTGTTAAAATTAGTTAAGAATAATTAATGTGTTAAAAGTATAATTTTTTTTCCAAAAATGCCCTCATTAATAAGGAGAGAGAACAATGGTGAATTATTAAAAGAAAGAGAAGTGGGAAGGAGAGAGAGTGTGAGTTAGAGACAATAAATATGGGTAAAATAGGAAATCAACACAAAAATGTAGAGACAACTTTTAAGTGTCTCTTATATATAGGAACATGCCATAAGCATCAAATGTCTCTTATAATAAGGAACAGAGAGAGTATTGTTTATGAAAACCTGTGAATTGATTATTTAGTTACAGGAAAACAGAAACGTATTTACGTCATTTGCTGCATATATAGCAACATCCTTGTTTTTTGTCAGAAGATACATTAGTAATTGAACATGCATACAGCAACGCATGTCTTCCATATCAGGTGCTGAAGAGACTAGTGTATCTGTTGAATAATGAACTGGGTTTGTTCTTTTGTTGTCAATAAAGCTCTTAAAGTTAAAAGTTATGCTAATATCTAACAACAGTTTCCAGAGAGATAACTAACTTAGGGAAGAAAATGATAATGAGAAAGGCATAAGTATACATGATTCTTTATTGTTGCAAATGTTATGATCAACTTCGAAGAGAAATGGCTGTTGTTCGTGCATGTTTCAAATGTGAAAATGTAAGGGCGTTTATGATTATGTTTATCATTTCAAGGCATTTTAAAAGTTCTCAAAATTTTGAGCTGAACTATTAACATCCTTTGGCCATTTTACTCTTCAACTTTAGCACGTACTTATTCACCTCTCTGTCTACATAATTCACCAAAAATTTTGTAACCTTGTGGTATGGTTTGCAGTGTGAAACAAATTGCCTCTCTTGTATAAGCCTTCAGGAATTCAACCTCAATGGGTTTTTATTTCTTAATTTTTTCATATGTGTGTTATCATGCCCTCTAACCTATGAAAGCTTTACAACTTGTTATTATGCTGTCTTCAAAATTTTTGTTCTCATTTGATTGGTATCTTCTCTTTATTGGGTGCTTGCATGGTGGTCTAGTCTCTTCCTAAAATAGCATGGGGGAAAAGAAGTCGTGTTATATTGGACGTTGGGTGTGGGGTAGCCAGCTTTGGAGGCTACTTGTTTGAAAAGGATGTTCTTACCATGTCGTTTGCTCCTAAAGATGTGCATGAGGCCCAAGTACAGTTTGCACTTGAAAGAGGAATTCCTGCCATATTAGGTGCTATGGGCACAAAAAGATTGCCCTTCCCTGGTTCTGTCTTTGATCTTGTCCACTGTGCACGCTGTAGAGTCCCTTGGCACATAGAAGGTGGATAAACCTTTGCTGAGCTTTTCTTTTTGTTAGCTTTTATTATTTCCGTTTATGCTTGAATGATCTAGTAATGCCTTAGTAATTGTACAATGCAGGTGGTAGGCTACTGTTGGAGCTTAACCGTGTTTTGCGACCAGGAGGTTACTTTGTGTGGTCTGCTACCCCGGTTTATCAAAAGAATCCAGAAGACTCTGGGATTTGGAAAGGTAAAGCTTATTTTACCCAAGCTCATGTTGCTAGTAGGAACCACCATGTGGGCGGATTTTATGAAAACCTTTTTCCCGCAGATATGGGTGAAATTACGAAGTCAATGTGCTGGGATCTCGTGGTCATTGGAAGGGACAAATTGAATGGAGTGGCAGCAGCAATATATAGAAAACCAACTTCCAATGAATGTTATAATTCCAGAGCCAAAAATGAGCCTCCCTTGTGCAGTGAGCTTGATGATGCAAATGCAGCTTGGTAATAAAAAAAATCACCAAAAGATGTTTTTTAAACCAGAACCAAAAGATATATGTTGGCTTCTCGAATTTTGATGGCAATGATGTTCTTTTTAGTAAGAATGCATTACAGAATTGAAATATTATTTTTACTAAACTACAAAAGATCTTGAGCCCACATTATCTAGAAAATAAATGATTTTTTTTCATCTGTTGATAGATACTTACAATCAGTTTTGTCCTTGTCAAATCAGAGTAACTTTATCAAGCTTATCAGAGTAATGCTTAATTTTCATGAACATTCTTTTGTTCAAATACGAGAAATTGAGAAAGCCAGTGGAACCACCATAGTCTTCAACTTCGTATGAGTAGAACTTGTTTTTCCCCCTTTTTTTGGTTTTTTTTTTTGGGGGGGGGGGGGGGTGGGTGGTTTCTAAAGATACCTTTTATACTAACTTATCCGGGGTTGCCAACATTGTTCTGCCCAGAGAATATTTCTTTATAAAGGAGTTTCTCCTTTAATCATTACATGTGCCAAATTCCATATCTTCAGGAATGTATCGCTAGAGCCTTGTATGCACAAAGTTCCTATTGGTGCATCGGAGCGCGGATCACTCTGGCCTGTACATTGGCCAACGAGGTTGGAGAAACCACCTTATTGGTTGAACTCTCAGGCAGGTGTTTATGGAAGAGCTGCTCCTGTAGATTTCACTTCTGACTCTAGGCATTGGAAAAACGTTCTTTCCCACTCATATTTGGATGGAATGGGTATCAACTGGTCTTCAGTAAGAAATGTCATGGACATGAGAGCTGTGTATGGAGGGTAAGTCATTCTCCATTCTTGTGTATATTCTGCTCCCCATGAATGCTATAATCCCCTGGTGGTCCCTTTCCCTTCAGAAATTCTTCTTGCATTTGTTTCTTGTATGTATTTACAGTGTTCAATGCTGGTATCAAATATGAATCAACACCTCAAATTGCACCTGTACACTATATAATTTGTCTTCTAGCAGTGTCTGTATCGTCTTGTGTTTTGTGTCTGTGTCAATCCATGCTTCTTAGGAGTCTGAGGTCATATGATTTCATGTCATGAGTCTGCTAGAGTGACTATCATTTCTTTTCCTTCTCATATTTTTCTTTTTCCGTTTAAACTTGTTTTTCCCCTTGAAAAAGCATATGACAGTTTTAGATAGTCCCTTTCTTTGATTTCTTTTAGTGATGCAACTGCTAAGTTCTGTAAGTATTATCGTTATTCAGGTTTGCTGCGGCTCTGAAAAACTTGAAAGTGTGGGTAATGAATGTAGTTCCGATCGACTCTCCAGATACGCTGGCTATAATCTATGAGCGTGGCTTATTTGGAATTTATCATGATTGGTGTGAGTCATTCAATACCTACCCTAGATCTTATGATCTTCTCCATGCTGATTACCTATTCTCTAAGACTAAAGAAAGGTAAGTTCGGTGATCATGAAAATTGTCGACCATGAAATCTGCTGATTCCACTTGTTTAACCAAAACTTTACTCGATTCAGATGCAATATAGTAGCGGTGATTGCAGAAGCTGATCGGATCATGAGACCTGAAGGTTATTTGATCGTAAGGGACAATGTTGAAAGTACAGGTGAGATAGAGAGTATCGTCGAATCTCTACACTGGGATATTCGATTTAAGTATTCAAATGGCAACGAGGGATTACTCTGTTTTCAGAAGACATTCTGGCGTCCAACTAAGACAGAAGCCATTGTGTCAGCCGTTGCTTGAGTAGAATGCTTTAATACCCCAATTTCAAAGGCTGCACGCCTTATTTATGTGTTTTTTTTTTTTTAATTTGCTTATGTCACCACATCGAAGAATGTAACCTGTTCTTTATTGATGTAGCTTCTTTTACAGATTTTAGGCTGTGTTCTCGCATCCCTTGTGACGTTTACCCTCTTCATATAAACCAAATAAGTGTGACTGCAACAGGAGACTCGAATTGCTCTTGAAAGTGAGTCTTTTTAATGAAGTTGCGGGAATTATATTGTGTATCAAAGCCAACCATTTGATTTGCATGTAAACATTTGTATCAAAGCAAACATCTTCGTCATTTGACGCACTCAGTCGTTAAATGGTTATAAAATACTCAAGTCTTTTTTATGCATAACTTTAGTTACTTGGCGGAATTTATACTTTCATGGAAGGCAGCCAATGTAACACTAACCATTTGGATTAATCAAGAGGTGCATAAACTCCAGCCATTTCATTAAAATGTTGACACTTTATTGACCCCACGATGTCCTTGTCTCACGAAAGCTAATGCATCCCATTGGTGGTGAATGGCACAAACAAATGCCTCACTAATAGTCTGTCAACGCCTTAGCAGTGGTAACTCTGTCATACTTTATCTCTTTCCTAACAACATATTTGGTTTACATGAGGGAGAAGAGAAGCTCAAACGACTATAATAAAATACTCTGTTTGATCCTAAATATAAGACTTATATTTGTAATGTAATTTACACTATAAAATGAATCTTATATTTAGATCGGATGAGTACTTAGAAGTGAACGGATTGACATCACTAGAGATGCACTTTAGGTCTACAAAATTGCAGGAAAAACAAGTCCTACAAATAAAGAAAAAAGGACGGCGGACACAGAGGCATCAAATGATCAACGCCCATCTTCAATCTCAAACGCCATCTGCTTTTGCATGGTATCATATCCAGATGAATTGCTAGTACCGGCGGCCCCATATTCATCAGGCACATGAACAAGTAAGTATTCAGTTTCTTCAGCCATGGCATCCCTACCCTTCATCCAAGGATGCCTTTCCATTGCAATCAAACCCTCTAATTCCATTGCTACTTCCTTCATAGTTGGTCTTTCCTCTCCATTAATTCTAATACACCTTCTTGCCAGAAAAGCAACTTCCTTCAACTGTGCAGCATTCTTCTTCTGATCTAACAACTGCCTATCAAGAATTTCCCATAAACGGTCTTCTTTTATTGAAGACACAAAGGACATAGCCAAATTTGGTTGTTCAGGTCTATTGAACTCAACAGCTTTATTGCCAGTAAGTAGCTCTACAAGCACAACCCCAAAACTATAAACATCACTCTTCTCATTTAACTGACCTGTGAGAAGATACTCTGGATCCAGGTATCCAAGCGTCCCTTGTACCACTGTGGCAGCTTGAGTCTCATCAAGAGGAACAAGTCTTGAAGCTCCAAAGTCAGACACCTTTGCTCTATGATTGTGGTCTAGTAATATGTTGGTAGATTTTATATCCCGATGAATAATTGGAATGGAGGCCGCAGAATGTAAATATGAAATGGCCTCAGCAGTTTCTGCAGCTATTCTTAATCGAGTTTCCCATGAGATAAAGAATTCATTCTTTGATGGGTTAATATGGTCAAGAAGAGTGCCATTATCCACAAACTCATAGACTAACAAAGGAACTTCGGTTTCAAGACAACACCCCAAAAGTTTGACCACATTCCGATGATTGATTTGGGAAAGAACAACCACTTCATTGATAAAATCCTTAATTTGTCTGGGATCCCCTCCTACTCTAGACTTCTTAATGGCAACCGGCGTGTTGTCTGGTAATATACCCTTGTAAACTGTGCCCTGTCCCCCACGACCAAGGATTCTATCTTCATCAAAGTTGTCTGTGGCATTCTGAAGCTCAACCTGGTTATATATTTTGGTTCTGTCAGCATATCCTTGTTGTTGTGAAAGTCTTTGTAACAGCACATTTCCTCCGTTTCGCTCGAAATTTCTTTCTCTAATTAGCTTCTGAGTTCTTTGCTTGTGTGCCCAGCATAACATGGAAACAAGGGTGAAGCCAACTAACAAGGTTGCACAAACGCCTGGAAGCAATTAATGTAGTCCAGCGTAAGATCTCAAGCGAGGAAAAAAGGTTCTAACTTTGATTTAAATATATGTAAAAACTATATTCCTCTGTTTATTTCAAATTATTCCCTCTAATCCAATGCCCGCCATCCCTTGAATAAGGAAGAAGACCCTAATCTAATATTGACCAACTGGATGTAGGTCAAACAAACTGAAATTAAAGTACTCCCTCTGGTCCTAATGGGTCTTATATTTAGGACTGGGGGAGTAGTATCTTTGAAGAGAAGGGTATGATAAATTTTTTTTGGACAGATTTGTATGATGGCCCCGGCATGAGACAGGGTATTTAGAGTCCTATCGCAAGGCAAGCTTCCTAGACAATAAAAAAAATTTCATTCCTATTAATGAACAAAGTAAAAACTATCCCTTATTGTAAAATCCTTTCTTTAATAAGAAAAATAGTTAAAATCATTAAATTTCTCATAAAAATATAGTGATTTTTGATATTACCCCTGTTTACCACACTAAACTCTAACATCATATTAATTTTTACTCTCTTCCTCTCACTATTTTTATTAAATATGGACATATGTGGGCAAAAAACATTTAGTACTCCTAGAAAGTAGCACGTGTAAAAAGGATAAGAACAGATTCTAATTGGGGTTTAGTGATAAGGAAGAAATGCTCAAGTATAAGAACATATGATGAGAATTTTTATTTTTAAAACTGATTCTGAGAAAATAAATTAAAAAATAAAATAAAACAGCCATTGGCATTCTAACCTAGTGCTATTATAAGAGAGAGCAAATTAGGATTAGAGTGAAAAGGAGTTTCCAAAGTGCAGCGGGTTCCATCAACGCGGCCATCGCCTTTATAACCAGGGAGACAAGAACAGTTGTGGCCGCCATCGAAATTGTTGCACTGCGCATGCGCTTTGATGTCACAGTCATTGGGTTGGTCACACTCGTTGACATCTGAAAAGGAGCGGGGCATCAGTAAATGTGATTATGCAGAAAAGGAAACGATTAAACAAAGAAAAATGGAACCAGAATTATACCCTGACATCCATCCGGATGGTAAGGATTTCCATGATACCCGGGCTTGCAGAGGCATCTGTATCCGAATCCAGTGGCGGAGTTCTGGGAGATGGCGTTGGGGTTGCATACAGATTTCGGTGGGCTCGGAGCGGTAGCTTCTTGACGAGCATCATCATCTACAACAGACCAATCTAACACGAGCCGGGACTCGTTAAAGGGGAGACGCTCGAGATAACTAGGAGAGAACTCAAAGGAGCCTTTTTTGGCAACAAAAGCATAGCTGCAGTTGTTGAAGGCCCACACATTTGTATGATTTTGGAAGCTATATGATTCAAAAGTGATATTCCTCATTCGATGAGGAACATCGACTTGGCAACACCCAATTCCGGAACAAGGTTCACCAGTATTCTCTGCTGGTGGTGGTCGTCGGTTACATCGCGATAGGCAGCCAGTGGAATAATTCTGTCCGTCCTGAAAACTATTCAAGTAGCCGTAGGTGTCACAACCCACACTCACGAACTTGTTTGCGGAGCTAGAAACAGGGAAAGCAGGAATCTTGAGAGAGGAAAAGGAGAGGTCAAGATCCACTGCTCCTGATTTATTGTAACAAATGCGGGAGACATACATAGAGATATCCATTTGACCATCGATGGATATGTTCAAGATCTGGATGTTTGAGCCGGGGTAATGTAATGTGGTGCCATTACACGCGAGATTGAAGAATGCATTCAGAGAGCAGTGACGTCCAACACCAAATGGATATGGAATATCCACACTTCCACATTTGTGGGGACAGCCAGGATGCAGGGACAACTGAGCTTCACCAGCTGTTGCTGCTATGGCTACTAATAAGAGAATCAGGCCCATCATTTCCATTTCTTCTGATCGATCCAGATTAGAGATCAGAGGGATGGCTTTCCGATGGAATGCTTCGATATGCGGTTCAACACAGCCTGCTTCTTTTGAGACTAGATATATAGATTGAGGACATCGCTTGCATCCATCCCATTCCACGAAAGAACAAAGCTGGCCCGACCGACAGACTTTAACCAAGTCAGTCAACTCCACTCCAGCTTCAGAAATGAACTATCCGGACCCATGCATGATTTAATGACTTGTTGTCAAAATTCTATAATTTTATTTGAAAATAATTGGTTGGGTCGGATGAGAAATCACCCAAAAAAAAAGCAGAATTTCTTTTCTTTTTTTTATTTATAAATTTAATATATGTAAAATACGACGCTGACACATCAACACGGTAAAGAATAAATTTTCACTGTATTTTTTAATTTAATTCTACATGAAATATTTGAATCCGTCGGAAGTCATTGAACTTTTTGTGATAAACCCTGAATTCATACCTTACAGTTTCGGAGTGCATTTCTTCGATGGTGTTAATTTTTTTATTGATATATGTATATTTATATATAAGTTACATTGTTTAATTTTTTTTGTTGGGGATCCGTGACATATTTTTAAATGTAACGTTGTGTTATTTATTAGATGACTTTTAACAAAAAGACAACACATCAATGCATTCTTATTTTGAACTAATTAATTAAATTAACACGAACGACTTTAAATATGTCAGTTTCTAGAATTAGCCAGCTATATTACCATCAAAAAATGAATAATTGAGAAATTAATTTAATTTTAAATCTGTACAATTAGATACACTATTAATATTACACTCTTGCACAAGTATCGAATTTGTTCAATCACTTTGTGTTAGAGACGAAAAACATGTTTAAAACCTCCGTTCCTAGATCATAAAAAACAGGTATTAAAAAAAAAGATCATTAAAAAAAAAACAACGATGAACGGAGACGACAATTGTGTGGCCGAAATTCATTCATTACATTTATTTGGCCCGCTCCAGTCATTGTAGCAACAACTTCTTTAACGAGTCGTGTACGTCCTGCATCTAATTATGAATATTCTGCTCTTGGTTAATTAAATTTTGCCATCATTATGTTATTTGTTGATAAAAATAATTGGAGATGGAGCTCATCAAATGCCTACTTAGATTGTGTCAAATATAAGTTATTTAATAATAGGTTTTTTTAATTCGAGCATATAATTTAAAACGATAATTATTAATAATGCAGGATTGGTTAATTATCATGGTGGGATGGGCCTCACCGGAAAAATGAAGAATCTCACACGCAAAGTTGACGAAGACTTTGCCTTTATTGCATAGCGCATATGATATTCCACATGGAGAATTATTTAGGCAAAGCTGCCCAAATACGACAAAAGTTAGCGACTTTGACCAATTCTCTTCCCCTCATTCTACGCATGCGATCACAATCGCCACTACCGCATGCAGGCAATACTCTGCATGTCAGCTATCGTGGACTGGAGGGCTTCTTGTGTACGTTGTTTACTATTTTTCGGAGGACTTAATGTTAAATGCAATACCGCGTGCAGGCAATACGACACAAGCATGTTCAACTCTCGCGTTAGTTTTTAAAATGGTAGAAAATATTCCTGCGCGTTTTTTTTTTTGGGCATCTTTCTAGATGGTGCATACATTCTAAGTTGATGCAAACTAAGCGTGCATTGCATGGCACGTCATACATTTCCAGAGAGTGAAAGTGAGGCTTCATTTCCCAAATACAACAGAAGTTAGCGACTTTGACCAGCTCTCCTGTCATTCTACACATACAACTCCTAGTAATAAAACTCGTCACTAATATCATATATAGGCAGCACTTTTAGATATATGATGACAATGTGGACGGCTTTTTACGGGGTTTTTAAGAGATACCATAATTTCATGTTTAGCAGTAGCAAATATTAGCTCCACTTCTAAATATAAGAGCTAGTTGACTAATTTGAGTAGATTAAGAAAATAAATTAAGTTAATTATTTGTAAAAAATATGTATTATCTTTTTTAAAATATCCTTATTAATCAAGTCTATTGGCTAGAACTATTATTATTAGAAGGATTATTTAAAAAAGTTATATAAATATGAAAAACAAAGTGGATTGGGTTTTATGTTTAGAACTAAAAAAAATATATGTTTTTTAAGTCCAAGTCTACGTTTCCTGCGCTTTTTTTTTTTTTTGGGCATCTTTCTTCATATAAACACAGGAAAAGCCAGAGGCTTTGACCAACTCATCTCCTTGCTCATTTCACACACGCGTCGGATTCAAGAAAAATGGGATGTGAAATTAACCCCAAAAAAACTAGGATATATTATTTCATTACTTATTTACAAAGGTATTTTCAAAAATATAATGCAAATTGTTGAAATATCTGCTAGCCATAACATAAATTTTAACGTATGGCTTCTATTCTAGTGAACCTTCTCTCCAAAGAATTTTTCTCGGCCAGCTTCTCCAAAGATTTATTTAGCACTTATGACTCGCTCCAGAAGTTTTCACCTCGCATTCCACCTCATTCTTCACATACAATTCGATGCGATCCGAAATTACTAAGTGGTTTCATTTTTATCTCATTCATTTTAATCTCATATAGAATACTACTTCATGTACTTAATATAAGAGCTTGTTTAACTTTTATTTTGATCTTAAATATAAGACTTTAATCCACTGTGTCTCTCATATTTATCCATTTTTTCCAAAATAGTTCTTGTTATAATGGTAATTCTAGCAAATACACTTGATTAGTAAGAATATTTTAAGAAAGACAACGCCTAGTAATTATAAAAACTAACTTTATTAGTTTCTTTAATCTATTTAAATTAGTCAACTAGCTCTTATATTAAATATAGGAAATAGTATATAGTGGTATTATACGAATACTGGGCACGGATCAGGGACCAACCGCCGTTGACTGTTGACGGAAACCAACTTGCACTCCACGGCCTAACATACAATCAGTGTGTTGTATATTTTCTCATAAATAACTTTCCATGGAGCGTGAGAGTGCACTCAATGATTTGCAGATTTGTCACGAGTACCTTTTTAAGTAACTCACCAATCATTCATACAACAATACATACTGATCATGTCATTATTCTGATAAATCTACCGGCTAAAACATAAATTTTAACGTATGGCTTCTATTCTAGTGAACCCTCTCTCTAAAGAATTTTTCTCGGCCAGCTTCTCCAAAGATTTATTTAGCACTTATGACTCGCTTCAGAAGTTTTCACCTCGAACCTCACCTCATTCTTCACATACAATTCGATGCGATCGGAAATTACCAACTGGTTTCATTTTTATCTCATTCAATTTAATCTCATATATAATCCCACCTCCTATATTTAATATAAGAACTCATTTGATTTTTTTTTAGTCCTAAATATAAAATTCTAATCTATTTCATATCTCATATTTATTTATTTTTTTCCTAAGGTAGTCTTTGTTACAATGATGACTCTAGCTAATATATTTGATTAGTAAGAATATTTTAAGAAAAACAGTATATATTTATTATAAATAACTAACTTTATTAATTTTTTTAATCTACTCAAATTAGTCCACTAATTCTTATATTAAGGATAAAAAAGAGTATATATTAGTATTATACGAATACTGGGCACGGATCAGGGACCAACTGCCGTTGACTGTTGACCAAAACCAACTTGCGCTCCACGGCCTAACATCCGTACAATCAATGTGTTGTATATTTTCTCATAGATAATTTTCCAAAATCAGTTTTCATACTCATCATCTTGATAAACATTCTAAACTCATTATATCAGAACTGTTTATATTTGATTTAAAGAGTCTAGATTTAAAATCTTTAATTATTTATTTTTAAATTAAAAACTATTTTTTGAAAAAATGATGGTTAAGAGATTATTTTTTTTAGATTCTATACATGTTGAAATAATTATTTTGAATAAATAAAAAAAATCAAATATGGACTATCTAAATGAAATATGGACTATCCAAATCTAATGAATTTATGATACTTATTAAAGTGATGAATACTAAAACTGGTTCCATAACTTTCCATATGGTGTGAGAGTGCACTTAATGATTTGCAAATTTGTCACGAGTACCTTCTTAAGTAACTCACCAATCATTCATACAACAGTATACACTGATCATATCATTATTCTGATAAATTTATGAAAAATATTTCATCGAATTTTAAGTCATAAATGAATTTAATTTGCTGCGGATCATAAATTTTATTTTTTGAGTAATGCGGAGTTCATTATTACAAATGGAGTATAATAAGTATTTTCCAGCACTAGTATCTCGAAGAAGAAAAAGAAGGGATAATCTCTTATCAAAAGGAAGATGAAGAATGGAACATCTGTATCGAATATTTGGTGGAAAATTAATGATGAATAGAAATCGAGGAGATTGCGAAATGATAAATTGGGTTGTACAAATTAATGTGTTGCTTTCATATTAACACACACAAACGTTTAATTAGTCTCGCTTTCAAGACTGAGATGAAAAGGGAAGCTTGAACTACTCTGAAAACTAAATCAATACCCATTGATAAGTACGTTTGCAACATCCATCAGAATGCAACACCGTCAGATGGCATGATAAGCACGCCAAGTGCATATGAATACTAAAGTGATCTTCGTCCGAGTTCAGTCCCAGATGCCATCTGCTTATATACGCTGTCACGGGCACCAGCAGCTTCCCCACATGCATTCATCGGGCACACGATCAGGTGAGTATTCCCTTCCATGTGATTTCATCAAAAGACACTCTTTATTTTCGGCCAGACCCTCTAGCTCCTTTGCTATTTCTTTCATCGTGCGCCTTTCCTCTCCATTTACTCTTGTACACCTTCTTGCCAATAAAGCCACTTCTTTCAACTGCTCAGCATTCTTCTGGTCTAACACCTCTTTATCAAGAATTTCCCACAAACGATTCTCTTTCATTGAAAACTCAAAATACATCACCAAATTTACTTGTCCTGGTCTATTGAATTTAACTACTTTAC